GTTTGAGAAGAAAAGAAGAAACTCCACAAGGGAATAAAAGGCTTAACAGAATAAAGGACAATAAAAGAAGAGCAGCTATAGAAAATAGAATTCATTAAAAGAAGGTCAAGAAAATAGAACTTAAATATATCTGACACAATCAAGCTAGATCACTGAGAGTCTGACAGAAGTACCAAGAATTGTCCTGAGATCCATTGAATTCTAGTTGCAATTTAAATTTCAGAAATATCGTAATTTGCAAGAAAGTTTGTAAAAGATTGAAATTCTAAGAACACATCCATGAGTAAGCACAAAAGACCAAGTATTTCTGAATTTTGATATGCAAAACCAATAAGACCTACATGGGGAAAAATTGGTTGAGAATGATGTACACGTGAAACAAACACAGATCCTGGAAGCAATGTGCTTCAAGAAGAAAAAAATGGAGTAAGTTTAGAAATGGCAGGTGCTCTGAGGAAAGACAATTTGTTGAAAAGCGATAATAAGGAGCAGAAGGTTGCTGAGCCCAGAATGAATTTCAATCATCGGTATGCTTTTGTGGAGGCCATCTGGATAGAAAATTAATTAATAGGTTTTGTCAGGGATACTTTCTAGCAGTGATACTAGGAAAGCAAGTTTACTTGCCTCATTAATTTTAAGGTCATATGAAATGGACAGAAATCATAGGGCCTTAATATATGGTGTTTTGTTTTTATTTGCTACATGTTGGCCGTTACACACGATTTAATTCGCTAATTGTTATTTTCAAGAACTACTAGTTTTCATCCTGTGAAAAACTATACCTTTGGGAAGGAATTTGCTTTATACTCATTTGAATGGATTTCATTATTCTTATATAAGGGAAAAAGAAAACCATTATAGCATCCAAAAGTCAGGGTCTTTGAGATTGAGTGCAAGAAGCGGCATAAGATTAATAAATTAATTGTTAAAGTGGGTACAGTACAAAATAAAACAATCAACAGAATTGCTAATTGCTGCATACATTCTGCTAACTGCAATTGCGGCAGATAAGTTGAATATAGGAACTGAATAGATGATAAAACGGAGTTCCTGCATCATTTGAAAGAGATAAAATTATTATACATATATTTGTTTGTTCCCAAATGAGGGAGAAACTATGCTATGCAAGTCACTAAATTCCTGTTTCCTGTGTAATACCTTGTGAGGAAGTTTAGAATATAGTAGAACAAAGGAAAGAACTGGAAGTACGAAGAAATGAACTCTCCGGTCAAGGAAGAGACCGAGCTGCAAAATATAAGAATAATGAGCAAGTTAACGGAGAAATGAAGCTTCTATAGATTTTTCTTTCAGTCTAATATATCCATTCCATGACTGCAGATAGGATTATCATATATTTCCATGAAGAATTTTATCCATCAAGGAAATATTTCCATAAAGAATGTTATCCACCAAGGAAATATGGAGATTATTACTATGGACAAAAGGGGTATACTGCTTAAAATACAGAAAATCAACATCAAACAATAAATGTAGTAGACTCCCTTGGATTGAAGACTTGAGCTATATTTCAAAAAAATCAAGAATTTTTTGTGGAATTCATTTGAAAATTTACAATAAATTAACTTAGACGGATGCAAATTATATGAGAAAAGGATTAAAATTGAGCTCGTGGAATTTCAAGTGGAACTGGAATATTGCTTTGCAAATTCCATAAATTCATAAGTAAAATTAAAGATGGTATTGTCTTAATTCTACTTTAAATTTAATATGAGCTTAATTTTTATAATTTAAAATGAGATTTTTACATATTCCTAAATAAATTATGCATGAATTTCCAGACGAATTCAATAAAAATTCTTGTACCGTTATACACATAATCTTGCTCCAGTATACCCAAAAAGCAGAAAAGTAACAAGTTAATAAAACTAACCTGTATGCATATGACGGTCGTGTCATACAACATTAAAATTGATTACAGTTTGAAACATCGGGTATTGATAAGTAATGGAACCAATTCATATCGATTTACAACTTGATTTCCAGTACAAGACAAAAGACATGAAGCAATAAGTTACAAATTAAGAGGCTATAGATAAAAATGTACATGATAGCATGAAGCAATCAGATATGCACAACATTCTGCCTTGGTGAAACAGCTCAGACTGGTTTTGATCTTAAAGAAACTTGTATTATATCCATATAACAAGAACATGACAGTCAAGGATCCAAAAGCAAATTTGGTACTAATTCGCGAACCTTTCAGGAGGCAATTATCTGAGTTAATTTAGACTAGAATCTAAGCCACAAGCTACTAAATGCACATCATCAAAACTTTTTTTTTTTTAAATATAAATTGTGAAATGTATTAATATGCAGCGCCTGGGGGGTGCCAACCCCTGTACAAAGTATATAAATGCACACAAACATAATCAAACACTAATAGAAGTTTAGAGTTCTGATACACCATGCTCATTAGTTCCACACTCACCATAGAAAGAGGATATGCAGCAAGTAAGGCACGGGAAAGTGCTGAAGTCAAGTACCAGTGAAAGGAATGTGTCTAACCAAAACAACTCATTAAGGAATGTAGATGCTAATACAATCATTGGAATGTTGAAATTGAGACGCAATACAATTAAAACGTTATGGAAACATATATATTCTTATCATGCCAATCCGAAAAGAAGCCTCACTAGGTCCTGTTATAACTAAGAGATCTATAAGATTGTGATGCTTGTTGGTCCCCTTTATTACTGCCCTTGCTATTTCCCTTATTTTTAAATGCTTCATACTTTCATGAACCCGAATTACAATCATCAGTTACCTACCCAATTAAATTAGAAGACAGTAGTAGTAACAGCAGGAAAGTGGCAAATGGGCAGAAGGTTTTTAAGACCTGCCAAAGCCTATGATGCAATGATGTTCAAAAAGACGTGACAAGAGCTATACAGTTAAGCACACAGTAAACAAATGTAGAGAAGGATACACCCCAATCAGAGCTCCGATTCAGAACAGAGTTGAACCAGAGAACTTCAAACTCTGGGCCATAGTAACTTCTTCCACATATTTGAATCCCCCCAATATGGTAAGACCTGTTGCTGAGAATTAGATAACATTAATGATGCCCAACCAAGAAAGATAATAGGTTCTATGGGAAAGTTTATTCTAAGAGAAATAGGAAGGCC